GAGGGGAAGACCGGTATTGTCATTCATATACAAAATTCATAAAAAGAAATAAATGGGTATCACAAGAGACAATATCATCCACTTGACTGAAGGGTTACCCCCTCTTATCTTTACACTGAGGCACTTGCATTTGAAAACAGGAGTGGAGAGCATCAGGCCTGGGGTCTGAATGTGGCTCCTCAGGACTATCTATCTGGTCCTCAGGCACCCTCCCCAGACCATACCCTTCTCCTGCTCTCCACCTTCAGGACTGAAGTCACCAAATGAGGGGGGAAGAGATAAGAAACATTTCCAGAATTGAGGAGAGGATGTCAGGGGGCAAATCAGTCCATGGTTAGCAGAAAGAGGAAGTTGGGTGCAATCAAGAGATGCACAGACCGAAGGAGGCTGATGGAGAATGAGGCAAATTTCACAGGAAGAACCTTTCACGAGAAGGAGGGCCATTTCTACACACACTGACGTCCTACGATACAGAGGCAGGATGGCATGGAAAGGGTGCATCACTTGGGGCTTTTGAGTTCACGAAAAGGTAATGTAGATGGAGGGGCTCCCCTATGCAGAAAGGTTGCAGCGATCTTGTTCTTTTAATTTAGAAAAAAGGCGAGGAAGAGGTGTCATGATAGATGTTTATAAACTGATTCAGGGCAAGAAGAGAAAATTTTCCTTCTTCTCTAGAGCAAGAACTAGACTAGAACTGGTTGAAATCCAACAATACTGAGTGTTGGACGATTTGCACAGATAATTGGAAGTACTTCTCCACACAGGACATAGTTCAACTATGGAATTCACTTTTGCAGGAACTCACTTTCATTAAGTTATAGAATTGCAGAGTTGCGAGGAACACAAAGGGCCTTCTACTTCAAACTTCTGCAATGCAGGAATCACAGTGGAATAATCCTTTCCATGCACAAACTGTTGCCTCCTTATGATCATCCATTACCTTTTCGTGGACTCAAAATTTCACAGGTTCTTCCTGTGAAATTTGCCTCATTCTCCATCAGCCTCCATTATCATTTAGCTTGCCTTTTCTCAACCTATTCCAAATCCACAGTAATAATAATAATAATAATAATAATAAATAATTTATACCCCACCTATATGGCTGGGTTTCCCCAGCCACTCTGGGTGGCTTCCAACAGAACATTAAAATACAATAACCCATTAAACATTAAAAGCTTCCCTAAACAGGGCTGCCTTCTGATGTCTTCTAAAAGTTTGGTAGTTATTTTTCTCTTTGACATCTGGTGGGAGGGTGTTCCACAGGGCGGGTGCCACTACCGAGAAGGCCCTCTGTCTGGTTCCCTGTAATTTGGTTTCTCGCAGTGAGGGAACCGCCAGAAGGCCCTCGGCGCTGGACCTCAGTGTCCGGGCAGAACGATGGAGGTGGAGATGCTCCTTCAGGTATACTGAACCGAGGCCATTTAGGGCTTTAAAGGTCAGCATCAACACTTTGAATTGTGCTCAGAAACGTACTGGGAACCAATGTAGGTCTTTCAAGACCAGTGTTATATGGTCTCGGCAGCCGCTCCCAGTCACCAGTCTAGCTGCCGCATTCTGGATTAGTTGTAGTTTCCGGGTCACCTTCAAAGGTAGCCCCACATAGAGCGCATTGCAGTAGTCCAAGCAAGAGATAACTAGAGCATGCACCACTCTGGCAAGACAATCTACGAGCAGGTAGGGTCTCAGCCTGCATACCAGATGGAGCTGATAAACAGCTGCCCTGGACCCAGAATTGACCTGCGCCTCCATGGACAGCTGTGGGTCCAGAATGACTCCCAGGCTGCGCACCTGGTCCTTCAGGGGCACAGTTACCCCATTCAGGACCAGAGAGTCCTCCCACCCGCCTCCTGTCCCCCAAAAACAGTACCTCTGTCTTGTCAGGATTCAACCTCAATCTGTTAGCTGCCAACCAACCTCCAACCACCTCCAGACACTCACACAGGACAAAACAACTTTACATTAAAAAGACACAATATAAAATATGTGGAAAATTTAAAATCAGAAACCAGTTAAGTATTGTGGAACACCGTCTTTATAATTGCCTGTGTATGCCTGGCAAAATAGACACATTTTTATCAAGCATTTAAAATATGGAAAAGAATAAGCCTGCTGGTTCTTCCCTGGCAGAGGGTTCCACAGGACTAGGCTAAGGGAGCTGGGCATGTTTAGCCTGCAGAAGAGGCGGTTAAGGGGTGATATGATAGCCATGTTCAAATATATAAAAGGATGTCATATAGAGGAGGGAGAAAGGTTGTTTTCTGCTGCTCCAGAGAAGCAGACACAGAGCAATGGATCCAAACTACAAGAAAGAAGATTCCACCTAAACATTAGGAAGAACTTCCTGACAGTAAGAGCTGTTCGACAGTGGAATTTGCTGCCAAGGAGTGTGGTGGAGTCTCCTTCTTTGGAGGTCTTTAAGCAGAGGCTTGACAACCATATGTCAGGAGTGTTCTGATGGTGTTTCCTGCTTGGCAGGGGGTTGGACTCGATGGCCCTTGTGGTCTATTCCAACTCTATGATTCTATGATGACACTAAAAAAACACACCAAACAAACCACAAATGGATGTAGAAAACCAGACATAAGGCTGGAGAAACGAAAAACTGAGAGGAAACAAAACTGACAAATTAAGCCATCCATCACTTTCAGTTTCAGTTCTGTACTGCAAGAAACAGCTGCGCTAATGTCTTGCACTTTCATGGACAACTTGCTCTGATGTTCTCCTTCCTGGAACAGCCTTCCTCTAAATCACAGAAATCCCTTTTCTGTATTGGCAGGACTTTTTCTTTCTTATTTACATGTTTGCAAACTCAGTGTGTTTGCTGTTGTTTTAAAAAGAATTAAATAAGTTCAGCAAACTCCTGTCTTTATGACACTCTGTTGTTCCTGAGTTGACACCTCCTACCCCCCAATCACTAGGGACGCGGGTGGCGCTGTGGGTTAAAGCCTCAGTGCCTAGGACTTGCCGATCGAAAGGTTGGCGGTTCGAATCCCCGCGGCGGGGTGCGCTCCCGCTGCTCGGTCCCAGCGCCTGCCAACCTAGCAGTTCGAAAGCACCCCCGGGTACAAGTAGATAAATAGGGACCGCTTACTAGCGGGAAGGTAAACGGCGTTCCGTGTGCTGCGCTGGCTCGCCAGATGCAGCTTGTCACGCTGGCCACGTGACCCGGAAGTGTCTCTGGACAGCGCTGGCCCCCGGCCTCTTAAGTGAGATGGGCGCACAACCCTAGAGTCTGTCAAGACTGGCCCGTACGGGCAGGGGTACCTTTACCTTTTACCCCCCAATCACATCCACTCTAAAATCCTGAATTGCAGAGGATGGCTCCTAAACTCACACTTGTACAGATCAGCATCCCCCTGATCACCTCTTTGGAACCTTCTGCTTCCATTGTTTTCAATTCTTGAACTCTCATTTTGGCCTGGGGGTGGGGATGGACATGGAAACTCAGCATTGGGCTCTGAGATCTTCAGGGGATGCCCTTTTCTCAACCTCATCACCCTCACAGGCATGCTTGGTGGGGACATGGGAGAGGGCCTTCTTTGGAATGCCCACCGTAGAGAAGGTCCTATTGGTGACCAGAAATAAAAAGATATTTTGCATCACTAAGAATTAGAACTTATAGGAATGGGGAGGGAAATGGAAAGGGAAAGAGGCAAAATATGTACTTCACACATGCTAGACTGGGCTGTAAACTATGGGCACTGTTCTACCATATGCCATTATAATCAATACATTCCCAACAGACTGCATAAACATTGTTTCTTTTGGCCTCTTGCTACTTTTAATTTTTGTGTCAGTTTCTTCCAGTAATGCTCTTTGCTAAATTGTGTTATACTATTGGTCCATAGTTAATAACTGTAATGTTTCCATGTCCTGGCAATAGTTGTTCTTGCAGCCATTAATGGATGTGTTGTGAGTTCTTTGTTTCTAATTTGCCTCATATCATGACGATACAAGTTAGGTGGAGCCAGACCTAGGGTCTGCACAGTAATCGTAGATATTTCTGTAAATACGTTCTCCCCTCCTGGGTTTCCAGCAACTGGTATTCAGAAGCATTGCTGTCTCCGGTTGTGGAGGCAGAGCACAACCACTATGGCTAGTAGCCATTGGTAGCCTTGTCCTCCATGAATCTGTCTTATCCTCTTTTAAAGACATACAAGTTGGGGGCCACAACTGCCTCCTGCAAAACATCATTGGATCCTGACATCACCAGTTCTAGTCTTATGAGAGAGGAAGGACAGTTTCCCTCTATCCACTCTCTCTATGCCCTGCTTCAGTTTATAAGCTTCTATTGTCCTGCCTCTTACACGCCTTTTCTCTAAACTAAAAAGACCAGAACTCTGCAAATAGGGGAGCCCCTCCACCCCATTGATCACTTTGGGTGCCCTTTTCTCAACTTTTTCCAATTCCACAATATCCTTTTTTAGGTGAGGCGACCAGAACTGCTCACAGTATTCCAACTGTGGTCACACGATTTATTGGTATAATGGCATTATGCTATCTGCAGTTTTGTTCTCAATTCCTTTGCCAGTGATGCCTAGCATGGGTTTTACCTTTTCCACAGCTGCTGTACTCTGGATCAATGTTGTCATTAAGCTACGTCCTCTGACCCCGAGGTCTGCCTTCTAGTCCTTCACCTCCAGCTCACACTCCATGAGCATAATGTGAAATAAATTTGTTTTTTTCCTCCAACATGCATCACTGTACACTTGTTTACCTTGAATGGCGCTTGCCTGCATCCCACACCCATTTTGCCTGGGGCAGATGGGAGAAGAGCAGGAGGAGGGGCTCTGATCCGTGGCTACGCTGTCCAGCTGAGCCAGGCCTTGGCAAAAGGGACATCACGGGACACAGAATGGATCTTTCAGCCCAGAGGGGAAAGTCTCAAGAGATTGCTATTTCAAGCACTGCTTGAGAGCAGAACAGCCACTGAGAACTTCTGACTGATGCAAGATCCCTTTTTCATGGGTCACAGCCGGCTTCCCCCTCTGCTCTGCCCCTGCCGCGGTTTGTGTCATGTGACTAAATATATCCCCAGAGGAAATCTAAGACGCCACCATGACAAAGCAGTTTCTCTTGAAGTGGCTTTGGTTCCTGGCCCTGCAGAACCAGACAATGGCCCTCAAAGGCCAAGGAAGGAGAAGAGCGGAAAAAGGAAAACCAGGTAGGCCCTTTTCAGTTTTCTCTTCCCTTTTGCCCTAGGTGCGTCTGAAAAGCAGGCACATTTTGCTTTGAAGAAGACCAAGGGCACAAGGCAGCTTCAGGAAGAACATGAGAAGAGCCTGATGGGATCTGGTGCCCCATCTAGTCCAGCATCCTGCTCACACCCTGGCCAGCCAGATGCCCATCATGAGAATTCAACAAGGAACATCCGAGCACAAGAAGATCCAAGCACAATTCTGAATCATAGATTTGTGGAGTTGGAAGAGACCCCAAGGGTTTTTTGGCCCAACCCCCTGCAATGCATATATCCCGAGAGGAAATCAAAGACACCACCATAACAAAGCAGTTTCACTTCACTCGGGTTTGGGTTGGGAAAGGTTCCTCGAAAGCCAAGGCAGGAGGAGGGTAGGAAAAGGAGAACCGGAATGCCCTTCTTATTGTGCTCTTCCCCTTTGCCATGGGTGCTCATAAGAAGCCACATAATCTGCAGTATAGAGATAGAGATATAGAGAAAGAGGGATGATTTGTCAGTGGCTTTATCTTACCCAGGGCAAGCAACCTGCAAGCAAGCAAATATCCTGGGGTAAATTGTGCATAAAAATGCACATAATAGTAAACGTAGTTCATGTTGTTTGTGGCCATCCATCTGTCTCGAGAGACTATGGAGTGCATGAGCAGCCCTGAGGGTGCAAACCTGGGCAGTGCATATGGAGGTCCTGGGCTGCCCAGATGACAAGACCCCCCTTTTTGCCTCGCCAATGTGATCCAAAGGAAAGCAGAGCAATATGTTTGCAGGAATATGGCTGCAGGAATTGCTGGAAAGAGACGTACAAGGCACCATTCAACCATCTTAGGGACTCAGCTCTGGATTTGTGTAGGGTTTACTCCTTAGCCTTTTCTTCTCCCAAAGATGTCGCTCAAGGCAGTGGTGGTTTAGGGTCAGAGTTTTTCTTCTACTAAATGAGCTGCCTTCCAAGGTTAATGAGCCCCATCTCATTTCCCTCTAAAGCATGTGCAGATACTGCCTTAATGACCACCGGATCCACTATTGGTCTCATCCACTCATTCTGTTGGAGCCTGATGAAAATGCATCATTTTAGGAGAAATCGCTTTGCAAAATTGCATGCAAATAAGTATATAAGTAGAAGAAATTTACACTAAAATGCTGCCGGATTTTCATGAGGAACACGTTGCAGCTGCGGCAGGCCCCGCTGTGCCTTTCTGAGGGTGTGGTTGGCCCCGTTGGGCCTCCTCCTGCCGTGTGACATCACACGCATGTCATTCACGACACACATGTGGCGGGCACCCAGAGTGTCTGCCCCCTAACCCCCCAATCACAGCCACCCTATGTCAGGGTGCTGTTGACAGTTCCTGGCTACCTGCCCAGGAAATCAGAGATGCAGAGAAAGAGCGTTTCTGTTCCTTTATTTTTCCACAGTAACACAAGAAGACACAGGGGGAAACACCCTTATGCTCAAGCCAACGTTGCTTGGAGTGTCGTTCCACCACCACTTCCTAGTGACCAGACTCCTCCTGCTGCCTACGGTGGCTGCTAAGGGCCAACCTCCTCTGGGCTTTCTGTTCTGAGACACGCAGAGCATGTCTAGTTCTCAGGGAAGGGGGGGCTCTGACAAACTTTCCAGAGACACCGTTTCACTTGGCTGCTGCACGGATTTGAACACATACGACTCCTGCCTCTGTTCACTGCTACTTTGCTCCTGTTCTTCCTCACCCATTATTTCCCAACTCCTTTCCTCTTCTTCTGGGGTGTGACCTGTTTCAAACCACCAGTCCAGTCCAATACCTCATTCTCTTCCGCACCCATCCCCCTGGAATGCTCTTGGACTGGCGGTCTCCACCGCTCCTCCTCACGCAAACAGAACATTCAACAGACTGAACAGCCAAATGGTCTTAAACACAAATCCCACCCTCTCTTTCACTGGTAGCAGCTTGCTCACGCACCCTGTCTCACAAAAATGAATATTAAACTGAAGTTGCAGGTGATGTGCAATAGGAAATGAGTCGTGAGAAGGCCTTGGCCTCTCCAGGTCAGCAACCTGGCCAGCAAAGGAACAAACCCATTTCCCAAGAGCCAGGATTTCCTTGTACCAAGCAGACATCTACAACACGGTGCTGCCTCTCTCAGCTTCACCAGGTCAGCTTCCCTGAGGGCCAGGAGCTCCTTGTACCAAGGACACGCCCCCCCCCAGCTGCAGTCCAGCAGTCAGAGAGTCATACGTGACACTTTCTGCAGGAGCTATGAAGCCTAAAGAGAGAACGTTGGAGGAACATCCAAGGCTTGCTTACTGTTCTGTGACATTTTGATTGATCTTGATGAAGTGTGGGTTTGGAGGTTCATTTCATGGAACATCAAAAGCTTCCCTTGCATTCCTCACTACACTGTTTTTGAGGATTGTATAACTACCCACTCCTTTCAGTAAAAAAAGGTCAAGGACCCCTGACAGTTAAGTCCAGTTGCAAACGACTCTGGGGTTGTGGCACTCATCTCACTTTACTGGCTGAGGGAGCCGATGCTTGTCTGCAGACAGTTTTTCCGGGTCATGTGGCCAGCATGACTAAGCCGCTTCTGGTGAAACCAGAGCAACGCATGGAAACACCGTTTACCTTCCCCCCAGAGTGGTACCTATTTATCTACTTGCACTTTGACGAGCTTTTGAACTGCTAGGTTGGCAGGAGCAGGGACCGAGCAATGGGAGCTCACCCTGTCGCTGGGATTAGAACCATCAACCTTCCGATCGGCAAGCCCAAGGCTCAGTGGTTTAGACCACAGCGCCACCCACATCCTTTCAGTACCTTTCCCCAAAAGAACATGTTTGACCAGTAGTTATTGCAACCTCCAGGGTTTCACTGCTTCCTTCAAGGCAACAGGGATCAGCTTTCTTCTCACTCACCTCCTGGACCCAGTTGTCCAATCCCCTTTTGAAAGCCCAGTAGCCAAGGAAGATAAATACCAAACATCCAAGTGGGTTGGGCTGAGGTGTGTGCATGTCCTTCTCCTCCCTCCCCATCAACAAGAAGGTTCAGCTGTGGAGGCAGACGGGGGATCTGTGCAGCACTGAGAGCAACTGACTTGAAGGAGAAAAGTAAGAGGAATCTCTACCATAGCAGAAATTCACCTTGGAAGAAGAGGAGACTACAAGGTAAGATGGAAAGTGAAGGGAACCCCATGAATACAGGACAGAATTGCGGAAGGTCCGGAACTAAAGAGAGGCAAACAAACCCAAGCCTTTCTATGTGGGGTTACCTTGTGATGAGAAGAGCCTTTAACTCTGGGAGGAATAGAGTACTTTGTGACCTCCCAGTGAATGAGAAGAGCTTCACAATCTCTGGGGGTAGTTGAGCCCAAAGATCTTACACTGAAGGGGAGCCAGAAGGACTGAAAAGAATAATGAGCCGCCCCAAAATCCCTCCTCTCTCTCCCCTCTCCCAACACAGATAGCAATAGTATGTTGGCATTGGGGAAGCACTGCAGAAAAAACCAATCTAGCAGGATGAATCCTGCTTGGGCTGGGCTATTCTTGTGTCAAGAACAGACCAAGGAAGGCACCAGCAAGAAACCCCCAGTCCGAAGGGGTCCTCAGCTTCTCCAGATCAGCCACTTTGGACTCAGGGGAGAAAACACATTTCCTGAGAGCCAGGAGCTCATTTCAACAAGGACGTCCCCAGGTTTCAGGGGACCCTGCCTGCTTCTCGGTGGCCTCAACCTGTGGGGTGTCCTCTTTGTCCTCTGAGGACTCTGTATCTGGTATCATTTTGGGGCTGGGAAGAGAGTTGAAGAAGCTTTAGTAGGTTAGCATCATGGAACCTGAGAGTCCCGGGGATGGTCCTTAAATCTGTTCTTCCTCTCCAGGCAGCATGAAGACCTCTGGAGCTGCCCTCGTCTTCCTCCTTCTTGTGGCTATTCCATGTGAGTCCAATTCTTTCCTCTCCCCTGGTAGTTGTCTTACCAGAGTTGGGACTTCCACTGAAGGGTGTCATGCCACTCCCTGGGCCCTGATGGACTTAGGGGTGCTCTGAAATGAGGAGCCCCAAGACGGGCCCTTCCTCTCTGACTCAGACCCACCCCTGCTCCTTTCCCCTGGGTCCTGCCCCTGGATCCCACTGGAGGATTGGCACTGAAAACTTTTAAGGCAAGATGGGAAACCACTTTCAGATGGGGGGGCTTCCCTTGTTGGCCACCTTCCTGGGGCCGCATGCCCAGTGGCACTGAGTGTAGCCACCCACAAAAGTGGGGCAGAGCAACTGATATAACCCATGAATTCCAAGCAGGGGGGGAAGGGAGGTGTTGTGGTTTTAGCCCAGCCCTCAGTTCTCTCTCCCATTCCACAGCAAGGGTGCTTTCCAGACAGGCACAATCACTCAAAGCAGGGGCAGAGGAGGACTAAGGAGAGGCAAGGCCCATGGAGGGCGCTCTGCATTCCGACCCACGACTTGAGGCTCCCCTCCCCTGCTTTTCAGCATAGGATCATAGAAGTGGATGGGACCTCGGGTGCCATCTTCTCCAACCCCCTTCAGTGCAGAAATAGCAGCTCAAGAATCCCGGACAGGTGGCCTGAGTTCAAAAGCCTCCAGCAAAGCAGACTCCTACACCTTCCAAGGAAGTCTGCTCCACTCCAGTGTCTGCCACTGGAGTCTCAGATTTCAGCAGCACCCTGCGCAACGCCAAAATTCTGCGCCCACCTTGCTTCTCATGCTCCATTGTAAATCATAATTGTGGCATTCTCAGCAGTGCCCCCAAGGCTCCATGCCCGCTGAGACCATGCTCCCCTACATCCACCTCTGTCCACTGTCAGTGAGGAAGCACTGAAAAACCAGTGGGAGTCTATAAACTGTAAAATGTATTATTATTAATTTTTTAGGGTCAGGGGAAGTCTGGGGGGAGGGAGATAAAGAGACTTGGCGGGGGGAGTGGAGTCAGCATTTCAACCAAAGGCTTGAGGCTCCCCTTTCCAGCTTGTTCAGCTTAAAGTCCTCCATGCAGAGGCAAGGGGTGGGGAGTGTCCAGTGATGCTTCAAGATGACCAAAGCAACTCACCTCCCTGAGCAAGAGCTATTAAGTATCCAGCAAAAGCAGTCAATCAATAACAGTGCCTGCCTTCTCCTGCTTTCAACAGCTGTGGTATCCAAAAATTCCTGCTGCGCCACATATGCCAAGAAACCATTCCCAAAGCACCAGATAAAGGAATATTGGTACCTCACCTATCCATGCAGGCGTGATGCTATAGTGTAAGTTCTGAGGTTGGGGGAAGGGGTGCAGAAGAGAGACATAAAATCAGAAAGATAGGGAGAAATTGTCACCTTGGAACAGGAAGTGACTCCACTTTGAAAAACATTCAGGAGTTTTAGTAAAGGTAAGAGGTAACATGATGGAAGTTCGAAAAATTATGACCGGCATGGTGAAAGTGGAAAGAAAAAATGCTTTCCTTCCTCTTTCATAACACTCGAAATTGTGCACATTCCCTGAAATTGAATGTTGGAAGACTCAGGGCAGATCAAAGAAAGGACTTCTTAGCATAGCAGAAAGTCTAAATATGGAACTCATTCCCCCAGGTGGCAGTGAAGCTTGGATGGCTTTAAAAGTGGATTAGACAAATTCATGGAGCAATATCGATGGCTGGTAGCCATGATGGCTATGGGCTGCCCCTACAGTCAGAGGCAGCAATGCCTCTGAATACCAGTTGCTGGAAATCACAGGAGGGGAGAGGGGGCTGCTGCTCACATTCTCCTTGCTGGTTTCTCACAGGGATCTGGTTGGCCACTGTGAGAGCATGAAGCTGGACTAGATGGGGCATTGGCCTGATCCAGCAAGTCTCTTGTGATGTTCTTGTGTTCCCATGGGATCTGCTACGATGCCCAGCTAGGGATGGATGAAACTCTCCATTTCACATTTGCCTGGTTTTACAGTCTTATGTTCAGTTTGCCCAATTTAAATGAAGGTCTTCTAATCTACATGCATTTCTGCAAGCTGCTTCCCCACAACAGGAAGTATTTTTGCACCTGATTTTTCCCAGTATGAACATATCTGCATGCTCCAATTTGCTGAAAAGCTGAATGGCAAAATTCAGAGAAACATGAAATTTTGGAGGCAAGCCACATCTTGTATTGGATTTGGAAGTGTGAATTTGATAGGTAGACATTAAGTTGGGAACAAAATTAATTTCTCTCCCTCCCCCCCCCCCCCGCCCTTTACACCCCCTTACAATGGCAGGATGTTTGAAAAATGAAAGCTTAGAGTCTTGGCACCAAATGCAATGACACCATCCTAAATCCGGTCCTCTCTGTAGCACATTGTCAATGCCTGCTTTCCCCCCTGACAGATTCAAATTCAAGAATGGTAAGTTGAGCTGTGCTAATCCAGACGACAAATGGGTGCATGATCTTGTGGCACATGTGGATAAGTTGTATGAACGTCCTTCTCCTGACAACTACTGACCCCTCAGAAGGAAAAGGAACCCCTGAACCTCAACAACTTCTTTGCTGTTTTGGTGAACTTCCTTTCTGCCTATCTCTCTCCACCTTCAAAAACAAAATGACTCCTTAATGGCTGGACAGAGTCTTCATCCAAGGGTCTCTGTAGCTATCAAGGGAGTTTGTCAAATGCCCTTTTCTTAGTTAAGTGTACTTGCCTGGCATAACTGACATTGTTTCAGGGTTTCTGTTCATGCAAACAATTGTCTATTTACAAGCAGTTTTGAAAGACCAACATGCAGTGCAGGACAAATCTAGTTCCATACCCCTTAGTGCATGTTATTTACATGCTAACTACCAGGTCTACCCAAAAAACATTTTTGCTTCTGCACTGATGTAAAAGAGCTTGCGAACATATAACTGCTTCATATTGTATACCTGCTTCGACTACCTGCCCTTCCTCTGCTCTGAGTATGCTTGCAGATCAGTTCTCCTGTTGGCTTCCAAAAATAAAGATGCAAACTGCTTTGTGTCGCTCTGAGTCTTTTTCTTCTCTGGTAATCCCACAATGAGGCAGGTTGGACTGGGAAAGGGTGGAAGGGGAGAGGCAGGTCAATCCCAGACCGGGAGGGTAATGTTGCAGTTATTAATATTGCACAGCTTGAAGCAACTGGATGTATAAAAAACTGACTCATTTTGAAATAAAAATTGTCCAGACCCATAAATATGATTCAAAACCTTACGAACCAGAGCCTCTTCAAAACAGCTATAAAAAGAAATCAATAATACATCCAAGTAGTTCCATAAGACATATAGTTGTCCAAGCATAGGCTCAGCATCATGGTAGAAATACAACTCCGAACAGGCCTAGAATCAAAAGTCTCTCTTCATACAGTATCCATTAGCCTGGAGCTTTATTCTCGTCCGGAGAGACTCATTTCCACATATTTCTCCCACTGTGTCTTGGAACAAAAAACCCCCACTAAACACAGCTCCCTTCAAAATGGCAATTTGCAATTCAGTACCTTAATCATGTGATCTAAGGTTAATCACTCACTTGTAAGAGCAGAGAACATGAACAGTGAATCATTAACTTAGCTAGAAGCTTAGAGACGTTGACAGAAGAACCCCCCAAGCTGTTTACAATGAAGAATTTAAAAGATCTGCTTGTTTTAGAAATCACAAAGATTAAAAAAAACATTTACATGCATGTTTCAGATATTTTAAAACCCTGCGATTTAAAAAATAATTTTACATACTAAAATTGCATGTTAAAATGACGTGTCTTGCATGATGAAAGAAAACAATGTAGAGAACCCCTTTGTTGTATCCCTGATCTCTGATGGTGATGGAGGAACTTAGGATCTGAGTAGGCTGATTTGGGAGCAGGGTGTCCTACAGGTCCCGGGGTCCCAAGCCATGAAGGCCTTTGAATGGACAACACCATAAGAACATAAGAAGAGCCTGCTGATCAGGACAATGACCCATCTAGTCCAGCCTCCTGGTCTCACAGTAGACAACCGGATGCCTGTAGGAAACCAGCCAGGATCAAGGATTTAGACAAAAGGTTGTTGGAAGACTGTTCTGTCCTGGCTGATTAGCACTGTCAAAACTAAAAATAACAAAACCTGTGTCTGGAGTGGCCCCCAGCTTCTCCTGGTCAGCCAACTTGATCCCAAGGGAACAAAGTCATTTTCTGACGGCAAGTACACCCCCAAAGCTACGGTCCAGCAGGCAGAGAGTCTGATGTGTCAATTTCTGCAGGATCCACATAGTGGGCAGTCTTCAAAGGGAGTGTTGGAGCAGAATTCTAAACCTTACTCATTATTTTGTGACGTTTGGATTAGATACCTTCCAACCGTCCTGATTTTCCAGGGAAAGTCCCAGAATCATGAAAGCCATATCAGCTTCTGATTTAATCCTGGAACATCCCTGCTTCCACTCCCTTGGGCAGCGTTCTCCCTTGGGCAGCTTGAAGCAGCTGCTGGAAAGTGGGCAAGTCGGAGGAGAGGCCACTGCCACTGAGGTCCAGCCCCACATGACCCATGAGCTCTGAGGGGCAGGCAGAGGGCAGGGCTGCCCTGGGTGGGAAGAAAGGGGGAGCAGAGCAGAGTGGAGTGGGAAAGACAGGAAAAGTAAATTAAGGAAGTTAACCTCAGCAGTTCACATTGAGAGTAGAAAAACCATCAGTACATGAATTAAAAAATAATTTAAGCCATTCAGGTGTCAAAATTCTCATCTCCACTTGAAATAGACAAAATTTCAAAAGGAGGGTGTTTCAAGACCCCTGCCTCTCCCTGAAAAGGCAAATGTTTCAGTCTTCTGTGAAGATCAATTTATTCCCTCCAGTTGAAGTTCTCAAAGCAGACAGTCTATAAACAGACACCAGGAGGTGCTGTAGTTAAAGACATGGCCATTCAGCCTTCACCTGCAACACAGAAAAAGCAATATATGATCTAGTCTAATGGACCGATCAGCCCACACAAACAGGCTGAGATTGCTTCGTAACAGGCAAGCTTCATTGACCTCAAGGGAACAATCTCATTGCTTAAGGGTCTGGGGCTCCTTGTACCAGGAACACACTCACAGCTTCAGTCCAATGGCCAGAGAGTTGGACATGTCCCTTTCTGCAGAATCCACAAAGTCTGAAGAGGGAGCATGGGAGGACATCCCAAGGCCTGCTTACTGTTCTGTGACATTTTGATTGGTTTTGATAATGGTACCTATATGAGGAAGGTGTGGCTGGGGAAGGAGACGGAGGGTCAACACAACTGACTTTGATGGTGAAAGGTGGGACAAATCTGTAGCTCACCAGACCCCTAAAACTGAACTTGGAGAAGGAGGTGATTACCTGTACCAGGTAAGAGGGAAAGCGAGGGGACCTCCAGAAATATAGGACAGAATTGTGAAAGGTCTATAGCTAAAAAGTAGTAGACAAGCCCAATCCTTTATATGTTAGATGGTGAAACAGACTCCCTTAGAAAGCAGTGGGCCTGGACCTGAACCTTTTGGTGCCAGGATTCTCAAGCACTGGGGCGGGAAAACTCTCTGGGGGGTCTTCATCAACCCAGAGGGTCCCCCTCAAGGGCATCCTCAGCATTGATTTCACAAGAATGCTCCTGATCCTGGACCTGTGGGTGTCCTGTTTGCCCTTTGGGGACTCTGTGTCTGGAACCAGATTGGGGTTGGGGATGGTATGCAAAGGGACCCCGGAAGGAACTTTAGGTGTTGAGGATCACAGAAGCCCAGGTTGCTCCTGGAAAGGTCCTGAAATCTCCTCTTCCTCTCCAGGCAGCATGAAGATCTCTGGAGCTGCCGTCACTTTCCTCCTTCTCCTGGCTACTCCACGTGAGTTGATTCCTCTCCTCTCCCTTGATAATTGTTCTAGGAGATTTGGGACTCACACCAGAGTTGATGGTGTTCATTCCATGGGCTTGATGGTCCTGGGGGATGGAGATCAGATGGAGCAGGAATCAGATCAGATTATATCAGGCAGGCGCCTTCACTGTACTCTTTTGGGCTCCTGCAAAAATAATTTTTGTTTAGACAAGCCCGGCCAAAATTGATCCGAGTTTTAAATCCATTTGTAATGTGTTGTTGTTTTAACTTTTTAAAAGTATTAAATTGTTATTCATTTTTAAAATTGATTGTTTTATTGCTTTATCCCTTTTTGTAAAGAGCTTTGAGGGCTTGTTTGTTTTCTTTTTATGACCAATTAGTGCATAAATCTTATGAAATAGATCAGCCAGTGTGGTCACTGTTCAGGACCTAATATGTCTGGTAACTCAACCATGATGTTTGCTCTTCTCAGCCCTTACAGGTCGGCGGACCCCCGCTCCCGGCTGCTGCCTAAGCAACTCTAAAGTTCCAATCCCAAAGAGTGAAGTCGAGGATTATGCCCTCAGCCGGCCTTACTGCCTGCGTTCTGTGGAGTGAGTTTTTGGGAATGGGCAAAAGGCAGGAGGGCTGTTGGCCAATTAGCGGGGAAGGGGTTGAAGAAACATGGTGAACGAAGGGTTAGGCATTTGGGGGCCATTTGTTTGTTTGTTTGTTTGTTTGTTTGTTTGTTTGTAAGGGGAAGGCAGCAGAGAAGCCAGAATAGAGATTGAGATAATTAGGGGGTCGGAGGGAAGAGCAGGAATTAGCTCAGTGGTAAGAGCATCTGCTTGGCATGCAGAAGGACCCGGCTTCAATCCCCAACAGCATCTACAGTAGGGCTAGGAAAGACCCCTGCGTGAAAATGCTGGAGAGTGCCTGCCAGTCAGGTAGACATTACTGAGCTAGATGGAGCAAAGGTCTGACTCATCAAAAAGCAGCTTCATTAGCTGAGACTGGCTTTGTTGTTACGGTTTCATTCAGTTTTCCAGCATTAAGTTCAACACTTGCAGACGTTATGGTGCCCTTTTGCTCCGATATATATGCATTTTTTGCAAGCAAATCCCTCAGCGCAGAGTGTGCGTTTGGAACATCATTTTCACTAATACAGATATTTTGTGTCCATTCTTTAATGGGAGAAATATATGGAAAAATTCAAAGCAATTTTTGAAAGCAAGCTGTGTTCCAGCAGGCATACTGGCTTGGGAAGTGGGAATTGTGTAGGTGAGCATTCAGGTGTGAGCAGAACAAATTTCTGCCCCATCTCAGTGCCTTGCATTGTGGCAGGTGTACTGCCCAATTAAAGTGGGGACCTTGGGCTAATGGAGAATTAAAAGGGTATACTCAGTGGCCGACTGTGGGTGCTTGCTACTTTCTCTGACAGGTTTCATCTCAAGCATGGTAAATTCAGGTGTGCTGACCCGGATCAGCCGTGGGTCCATGAACTCATGGAATACATAGACAGCCTTGAAGATAACTGCATCTGAAACTGGCACCAATTGCAGAGCCCTTCCTAGGAGAAGCTACCCTGAACCTCAGCAACACCATGGCTGCTTTGCTGGACTAACTTTCTCCCTCTCTCTCTTTCTCCCTCTCTCCCCCCCTCCCCAAAGTTTTGGCCCCTTCACACCGAACAGAGTCGTAGGCCCTGTCAGCACTATGCATTTAAATCAGGATCATACCACTTTAAACCATACCCTCCAATGTTCCTCAGATGAAAATAGGGACATTTCTCGCTCTGAAGTTGACACGTGTCCCTTTCTTACCTTGGTACAATAGACATCATGATGCACAACTGTCCTGTCTTTACCGGGACATTCCAGAATTGCAGAAACTGCCCCAGCTTCTGATTCCATCCTGGGATGTCCCAGGATTTCAGGCAAGGGGGACCAAAAGACATGTGTGTTTTGGTTCCGCACCTTTGCTTGCTGGTCAGTTGCTGCCCACCACAGGCAAATGAGGAGGGCCACAGCTTCCTGAAGAACAGTGCTGCTTCTGGAAGGAAGGCACTGTGGCCCTCCTTGTGCATGTGGGGGGGCAAGTAGCCCCCACCAGCACACGAGTGAGCAGCGATGAATGGTGGCACACATTGGCGGGGGCACACACACATGAGCTGGTAAGGTGGCAGCCAAGCGAGTGGCGGCAGGAGGGTGGGCGGAGTGTCCCAATTTCTTCTTGGGAACTGTTGGAGCTTATGTTTGGGGGTTTCTGTTTGTGCAAACAACCATCTACTACCCTACCAGAAACTTTGAAAAACCACCTTGTTGATTTCCAGACTGTGGCTCCGAAACGGATCCAGTTCCCTATCTCATTGTACGTGATAATTTACATCTTTAAGTACTTTCCCCCCCCTTGCAAATGCTTTGACCTCCGCATTGAACAAAGTGAACTTGAGAAAACCCAAGTCCAGCCTCCTATATCGCTGCTTAGACCACCTTCCCCTTCTCTGCTCTGAGCATGTCAGCAAATCAGTTCTCCTACTGACTTCTTCCTAAAATAAATATGTGATGGGCTTCATTTCTGTCTTTTGCTGTGTCCTTCTCTTTGCTGAAAATCCCAAAATGATGTGGGTTGGACCAGAAAAGGGAGAGAGGGGTTTAGAGTTAATTTAACACATTTGATGATGGAATGGGTTTTATATTTGATTTTATTCTGTGAACTGCTCTGAGACCTCCGGGTATATGGTGGTATATAAATTCAATCAATTAATAAAAATAAACCCAATAATTCCCTCCATTCAACCCCCCCAAAGCAGACAATCAATAAGCAGTCACCAACAGGTGTGATATTTGGCCGTTCAGCACTTTCCAGTAAATGATATTTGACCTGCAATATAGAAAAAGCAAAATATGATCTAGATCCCACAATCAATTTATTGCATACTAACAGGCTCTTCATCTTCAAAATCAGATGACCTCATCACAGGTCAGCCACTCTGAACTCAAGGAAACAAACACATTTCCCTGAGGGCCAGGAGCTCCTTGTACCAGGAACAAACCCATAGCTTCGGTCCAGGGGGGCAGAGAGTTGGACATATCCCTTTCTGCAGAATCCACGAAGCCTGAAGAAGGGGCATAGAAGGAAAATCCCAAGTCTTGCTTACTGTTCTGTGACATTTTGATTGGTCTTGATAAAGTTATTGCCTGACTGTGAGCTATTGGATTCTTCTTATCAAGAACAACAAGAGGTCCCTTTCATTCCCACAGCACCACTTTTTTTAGGTACTCCCTTGAGTACCTTGCCCCCAAAATGTGTGGTTGGTTGTTAGTTATTGTATTTAATGGGACAGGCTAGGTTTTGGTTTGGGGCTGGGTTGTGGAGGGGAACCACGAGCTGTACAGCAAAAGGAAATTCAATGCAGAAGTTGGTGGTATGACTTGCTGTCAAGCAAGATGTCTGCATCATCTGTCTTCCTCCAACCAGGGAAGGCAAAATGTTCTGTACATATTCTAAAAGCAATTTCCCCTTGCATAGTTTGTTTGGCACATTTGAACTCCAGATTCCACTCCTCTCTATGTTCCTGAATATCTACCTTCCAAAAATATACAAAGCATCTATGAATGGTTATGGGTTCATCTTTCTGTGAAGATCTATTTATTCCCTCCAGCTGAAGTCCTCAGAGCAGACAATCTATAACAGACACCAGGAGGTGCTGTATTTAAAGACATGGCCATTCAGCCTTCACCTGCAACACAGAAAAAGCAATATGTGAACTAGCGGATAGATCCCACAATCGGCCCATTTCTTGCACACAAACAGGCCTACTCTCTATCTTCAAATTCGGATTACTCCGTAACAGGAAAGCCACCTTGACCTCAATGGAACAAACTCATTGTTTGAGGGTCTGGAGCTCCTTGTACCAGGAACAAACCCATGGCTTCGGTCCAGTAGCCAGAGAGTTGAACATGTCCCTTTCTGCAGAATCCATCAAGCCTGAAGAGGGAGCATAGGAGGAAAACCCCAAGTCTTGCTTACTGTTCTGTGACATTTTGATTGGTCTTGATAAAGTTATTGCCTGACTGTGGGCTATTGGATTCTTCTTATCAAGAACGAGACATTCCTTTTATTCCCAGTTTTTTGGGATTGTCTATCACCCGCTCCCTTGAGTACCTTGCCCTTAAAGTGTGTGACTGGTTGATAGTTATTGCAACCTATCGTAATTTTTAAAATAAATTTATTTATTTGGTTTTTCAAATTAAAATTTCACAGAGATATATCAAACATAAATAATCAAAACAAGATTCCAATGAATCCCCTGGACTTCCATCCTCCCCTTTGTAGGTCCTGTTATTTATCATTTCCTTCCTCATCTTTTATGGTAGTCCAGATCTTTTGCATCTCCATGGTATCCAGAATTCACCCTTAAACTACAAGTGATATTCCAATCCTACTCACGATTTTAACTGTTTACAATGGTCTTTAAGATAAGTTATAAATTTTCCCCATTTTCCCCATTCCTTATTTTTAAAAAATTAAGGAATGGCCACAGGGAGTTGGGTATGTTCAGCCTGGAGAAGTTGGAAAGGTGAAAGTTATCTTCAAATATCTGAAGGGCTGTCACACAGAAGATGGAGGAAACTCGTTTCCTGCTGCTCCAGAGGGTGGGAGCAGAACCAATGGATTCAAATGACAAGAATGGCGATTCCAACTAAACATTAGGAAGAACTTTAAAGCTGTCAGTGAGACAGATAAATGAATGAACTTTATTACGGTCTCAGACCAGGATTAAAGAAAGCATATAGATAAAATAGCAGTTAGGATTTTTTGACCGGTAATTGTTAGAGCAAATGAGGACAAGGAAACAGGCATAGGATAAAACATCTGGATAAAATACAAGATTAAACACGGGTAGTGGATGGATAAAAACCTGATAATTAAAACAGATAAGAACTAAAAACAAACAAAGACACGCAGTTAAAACAACTGTAAGAGGCTGCAGAGTAGAAGCCTCTTAAATAGAGGACACTCACAACATTAGAAACTGCCGTGCGGATATGGTTAAAACAGACAATTAAAACAATGTAGGTGGCTGAAAATCCATCACTGAAAGGATACTATACATATGCAGTGAGAGCAGTTGCAGGCAGAGGACAAGGGAGGCTTGGAGGGGGGGTTATGCATCCTAATCTCACTCTGCCTAAACGCCACCTGTAAGGAACTGTCCCCCCTAGATCACCTAGCAATGGCCCTACTCATATCCTGGGGTGAGACAGATGTCTTTGGAAGGTGGTGGACTCTCCTTTGCTGGAGGTTTTTAGACTGAGGTGGATGGTCACCTGTCAGGGATTGTTTAGCTGTGATTCCCACATTGCAAGGGGTCCTGAGACTGACCACCTCTCACAAGGCGCCATTAATTGTCTTCTCGACCCAGCTGGCCAATCCCATTTTGTGACCTTCTTAACCAAGGATCAAGCATGCATAGGAATTGTGATAGGACGTGGGTTGGGGTGAGTGCAGGCCCAGCCCTCATCTGCCTATCTATAAAGGGAAGATGCAATTGGGGGAGGAGACAGAGGTTCAGCGCAGCACTGAGAGCAACTGGCTTTGAAGGTGAAAGGTAGGAGGACTCTGTAGCAAAGGAGTTTGTTCCAAAAACTGACCTTGGAGAAGGAGGCAGTTGCAATGTAAGTGGGAAGTATTCTGAGAAGAGGAACACAGTGAACTCAGGAAATTCAGAACAGAATTATGGAAGGTCTGGAATGAAAATGAGGCAGGCAAGCCAATCCTTTCTATGTGGGACTGTCCTGGGATGCAAAGAATAGCCATCGCTTGAGGGCATCCATCCAAGCTTTGCATTCAACTGATCAAATACTGGCTTCCAGGTAGATCTCTGCTTTCTCACACAGGGTGACAAACCCAGTAGCTTTCTAAGGGACCCAGACTAAGCTCCTGCCACTTGGGAACTAAGCCATTTCATAGGGGACCCACCATGTGAAATACTCTCCCTATTGAGAGTTGGAGGTCACCAACGGTGGTGTTTTCACCATCAGTGAAACACCTGTTTGTTTACCCAGCCTTTGCTGTTTTCACTCTAAGTACTCTTTTTTTAGAGATTACTGTCATGTTTTATGATGTGAACCACTCTGGTATTTTTTGACAACAAAAAGCAGTATATAAAAAATAGTTATTAGTTAATTAATTAAACCCTAAGATCCAGAAGGGGAGGCCATAAGTCAGATGAACAAAGGACTTCACTGTATAAGCCTGATTGGCAGTAGGTTTGTTTGTTTGTTTGTTTGTTTGTTTGTTTGTTTGTTTGTTTGCAACCCATCTGACTAGGTTGCGCCAGTCACTCTAGGCAGCTGCCAACAAATTAAAACACAGTAAGATATCAAACATTGAAAACTTCCCTGTATAGGGAACTTCCGTATAAAATGATCCCACCTTGCAAAAAAAAGACTCTTGGAATAAATTGCCCTTCAGGAAAACATCAAAGACCTGAGTTTCTCCCAGCAACTGAAAGGCTAAAGCGGAATACAGTTTAGACTCTGGCCTCCTAGACCACACCAAACCACAACTGCTAGCAGAGGAGTTCCAGGGACTGCTTACTCGTGAGTAGGCTGCTTACTCATGAGAAGGTCCCTTTTACTCAAGTGTTCCATGGTGACTTGGATATGCATGCTGTGCCGTTGCTTTTTGTCTTAACCCTGGCCTTCTGAAAGACCAAGGGAGGGGGAGAGAGAGAGAGATTCATAGAATCATAGAATTGTACAGTTAGAAGGGATACCCACAGGGCATCTAGCCCAACTCCCTGCAACCTCCTCCTCTGACAGCTCCAGGGCTTTTTAGGCAGGTCTCTCAGCCTGGAAGGCCTGTGAAGAGGTTCCTTAGCATTTGTTCAGAGGGGACCCTGCATGCTCCTGGATCTGTGTCCTGGTTGTCCTCTGAGGACTCAGTGTCTGGTATTGGGTCAGAGCTGGGAACGGCATCTCAAAGGAGAGGTGGAGGAGCTTTAGGTGGTGAGCATCACAGAAGCGGAGGAAGCCTCTGAAATGGTCCTGAAATCTCCTCTTCCTCTCCAGACAGTATGAAGATCTCAGGGGCTACTGTTGCCTTACTCCTTGCTGTGGCAGCTCTGCGTGAGTCAACCTGACTTTTCAATTTGTACAGTACTATACATTCCAGCCACAAAATAATAATAATAAACAACCTCTCATAATCATCACAGTATGAGGATGCATTCCACCGCAAAAAGCCACCAGAGGAAAGGACAGAATCATAGAAGGGTAGAATTGAAAGGAGCCTCCAAGTGTCCTCTAGTCCAGGCAGGTCCAACAGGTAGATCGTGATCTACCGGTAGATCACTGGACGCCTGTGGTAGATCACTGGTAGATCACTGGCTCTTCCCCCCTCCCCAAAGCTTTCCTCCTCCCTAAAAGAAGCTCAACTACTTTGACCTGAACCCAAAAAAGGGAGTTGATCACTGCCAGTTTTGAACTCTGTGAGTAGATCACAGTCTCTTGGGATTTGGCCACCCC